TTTTCTTTACAATAAGGCTTTCAAATAAATCATGGTTGTACGGCAGCGAAGCATCAGTGTTGAACACTGATGTCATGCTGTCCATGATGATGATGAGGATTAGGTCTTCGGCTGGAACCAACGAATTCTGCATTAGGTTATCTGGAGACGGGTTTTTTATTCAAAAAAAACGGTAATTCTCCCAATGGATGTATCCAGCTTTGCAAGCCACAGTGGCCGTGTCATGTATTACCCATGTCTACTTACCGCCGAACCTTGAGGAGAACAGAATTTGAAATAGCAGGGGGAAACGAATGATGCTACGAAACGACTTCGTGTCGTTGGTGCGGTTTACCTTTCAGGATGGGGACCACATCATTCTCCGGTTAGAAACACTGATGGTACGGCAGCTGGCTGATGCCAGTAAGCATCTCTCCTCATTGACTGAGTGTTTGACGTCAAGATACTTGCTGTAGGCTAAACTTCCGTCCTCTGTCTTCCCACTAGGTGAGGTATCACATTAAATTAGATGAAGTTGTCCTTTCCGTTAAATTGACTGGTTGACGGACTGTCCGTTTGCTGGAATACTCAATAAGTGGCTACAATAAGTACATTCGGAAGCTCCGGTGCTTGTCTTCACTCGAATGGGTTAAGTCATCATCATCATCGACAGCATGACATCAGTGTTCAACACCAATGCTTCGCTGCCGTACAACCATAATTTATTTGAAAGCCTTATTGTAAAGAAAAGAATAAAGGTGGATGGGGAATGGACTTAGTGCTGGCTCACTACAATCATTCCGAGGTACCTACACTTCCAGACATTCACTCACGCAACCTGGACAGAAACTGACAACAAGAACGCCACTGACATCGGTTGGCAGCCATATCTTGTAGTGTCTCCAACCAGGCACAGTGAGGATCACGCGGTCCCCAACCTGGAAGGCGAGTAGCGCCGACAGCACCCAAGCGTTTCGTGATATCTTTCATACTCCTCTGCCAAGTCAAGGGTTGGCCACCTCTCTGTTTACGCCACTCTGAATTAGGCATAGAAAAATGCTCTCTTTTCGGCAAACGATGGTTTGACATACGTAATACATGTCCCAACCAACGCAGCTTCTGGTGCTGGACACATTCTTCAGTGGAAGTACTCATGCACAACCAAAAACGCGCTTTCTAACTACCCCATTACGAATTCGCCGACACCACCTCACACGAACTATGGTTCTGAGATCACGATTGTCGAACACCTGAAGACGTCTCAGTCCCGCTGCTCGAATAGGCCAGGTCTCGCTGTGATATAACTAGCCAGAATTGAACTCTGGACGTAATCGCTGTGATATATCTAGCCGGTATTGAACTCTGGACGTAATTGGTGCGTATTTCTGAGTTGCATTATCACATATTCTGTTACCACTTAGAATAGACGTTTGAAATTTTTTCTCTTTTCAAGTTAATCGGAGCAACCCCAGGATTGGAGTACAAAGACCAAAGACTCCCATAACCTCATGGTTCACGCACTACTAGACACTTCTTTTTTCTACGGTATTGACACCTATACGGGTCAACTCGGTGCGCTTGGTTATTTCACTTTCGAGCTGTTGGGCCAATCGTGTTATGGGGGGAAGAATAGCCTAAAGCTCCGTACGCGGTTGTATCGAAGACGAACTCAATACACGCTGGGTAGAAACAGTACTGCACTCCTCGTCAAGGGCCACACTTGTCCGGACAAACCCAGCCCAAACAACAATTTGACCAGAAGAATATTTATTCTAGTAATATCATTCCGTTCGACAGTCTCTTCGGACCGGTTGGTCTCATCTCCCAGGCACTCTTTGTTTGTGTAAAAGAAATTTATTTTATTTTATTTTTTTTTGGTTCTCATTATCGTCTCGAAATTACTTTGTACTTCCCAGTGGTCGGAAAAACAATCCTTTGTCTTCGTCGGAGAATGGCGAATAGACATTTTTCAATCTGGCCAACCTTCCACCGGCTTGTTTGACCGTAGCCTCGAAAAGAGCTTTGTCCCGTGTCACTGAGTCATACAGGTTAAGCGCGATCCACAAGATAACGAGCATGCTCGTCCATACCATCAAGATGACCAGTCCAACTAAAATATCATTTTTCCTTGGTATCACGTAATGTGCTTCTTCCATTTGAAGTCGATAGGCTATTCGTGGCCTCCGCGACCACACTTCATTCGGCTTTACAGGGTCACGAATATAACAGTAGTAGATGTCGATGTCGAAACGGTGGACCTCACGAAAACGTAGGCTGCAGTCAGTGGTTATGTAGATATTCTCCTTTTCGTCACGTGGACGTCCAAATGTCAGATCGTTACCGGATTTCCAGATCGCATCCGGTGTTGATGTGTTGCATAGCAGTTTGCGAACAGTTGGACAAGTAAGGGTGAGATTTGTTTCCTTGTTGTTTACGAGTCGCTGAATTTTTGTATACCGAAAATCATGCAGTTCGGGCAGGGCTAATTTGAATTCACTAAAATCAACCATTTTCACCATGTCGAGCAGTCGATCAAAACCGATATCAGCACAGGCAATATTGTACTCGATTTCGATCTCGTACGAACGATCGCGGAAGTTGCCTGCATGTTGAGCGAGACTGTACAAAAACGGTAGCAGGGTGTAACCGCATGGTACGTACATATGTGTTTCATTCGCGTTCACACCAAACTCTTTGTTTCGACTCCATTTTTCCAGTAACTTTCCGATACGCTGTCCACCCTTATCCGTGTAGCCCGGTCCGCTCACAAGAAAGTCAAAAGCATCGCGTAACACACGATAAGCGTACATTTCGTCGGTTTTATTAGCGAAATCCGGTTCCTCCGTTGGCAGTTGCACATAGCAATTCTTCCGCTGTTTCACTCGTAACGGTCCACATGCTCCAATCAAAATATCACCTTCTAGTATTTGACTGGTCACTACGAACGGTCCGATGGTCAAGTCCGGTGCCCCTTGGTGCGCTATGAGATCTTTCTTGACCAACTGTTGCAGTTGCATCAGCTGTTCGTAACTTTCAACTTTTGTAGAATCGGGCACATTGGGTGACTGAATTTTTATCACCCCCAAATCATGGACCGTATCCACTTCGTGCCAGATAAAGTTTGCAGGGTGACTCTCCTCCGGCTTGTAACGACAAACGTATGTTCCGTGGAGCAGCTGAATTTTGGCTGCATCATACACATACAGATCATTGGTCGATTCGATCATGCACAAATCCCCCTCGTCCACATCTGGAACCAGGCCAGTGACATCTTTTTTCAAAACATAGTTGCTTCCGTAGTAGTATGTCGGACCGGCCTCGTAGATTGGCGCGCTCCTCGCACGAGTGACAAACAGCCATTCGAAATCTTCCACGTTCTCATTTGGACAGACAGGGCAATCGAGGAATAGTTTTTGCGGATTTCCACTCAAACCGACAATGTGTAGTTGGTGGCGTTTAATTGCCTGTTGCACACGTTCATAATAACATGTCAGGTTATCCGGCCTGGGGTGAGGACCCACCGTGTTCGGGCATAGTTTAATGACAGCCTCGGATANCATGCCCAAACGGTGTTTAATTTTTACAAGGCCATATCTCATTGCTGAAATTAGGTGTATTACCATTGGTTGGTGCCCCGTCAGACAGTGCACTCGACCGTGTCTTATTGCTGTGTGATATACTGGCGCTCCAAGGGTGCAATAAACCCTGTTGTGGCGCACTGCAATTCTGTGGAACCAAATGGTAAGAACCGACTTCA